ATACTAGATACTTCTATGATACATATGAATGTACTTATATGATACTCATGTATCTAAGTGTTTAATTTGTTGGATACATCATATATTGATAATAGATACATCAAATTAATGAATTTATTAGTTTAAAAGTAATAAAATGAAATTAATCAAGTCTTTTATTAACAATATTAACAAATTTATTATTTCAAAGAATAATAAAATAAAATAAATTAAACATATATACACTCCTTGATTTCCACCTTATATTAAGGGATTTGATTAATTTAAATTTCTAGAATTAATTGTCCATGTATTCTGAAAATCCTCAATTACTCCTCTAATTAAGGAAATCAGTTACAACTAATTAATTTAAATAGATAAAATATGTATCTCGATTTTAAAATTTGTCAGATACATGTATCTCACGGATTCAAACCCATGTATCCTAAGCATGAAATATGGTAGAGGAAGTAATATTTAAAACTATCGGGAATCTTAGTAATTAAGACCTAAACTAGTGGGATTTATGTAGTTTGCCCTTTTCTTTTCCCCTAATAATTTATCCAGTGGTCTTATTTTTCTTTTCTTTTTTTATCCTATCAAAAATCTATATATTTTTAAATTTTTATGACAAGTTGAAAAGTAGTATCACATAAATTGAGATAACTAGGGTAAGTTTTTCAATTTCAATATTATAGATAATAACTTTAAGATTATAAAATTTAAAAGACTATATATATTTTTAATTTAAAATAAAAAAATTCAAATATCTCTAAATTTCGCCGTCAATCAAATTGAGACACTTTTAGAATGACACGAAGAATATAGGTAAAGTTCTTAATTGAGCTTTGTATTTTGGATCATTCATGCGAATATTTCTATTGTCAGGTGTTCTTTTATTTTTTACTCTAAAATTTAACTGTCTTAAATTTTGTACAATTCAACACTTTTAAGTAAAAAATAATTAATCGACAATACCTCTAATATTGAAATAACAAATTAAATAACTTTTTCATTTGGTATAAATTTATATGTTTACATCATAATATATCACAAGTATATTTTAAGAGACATACCAAGTTATTATGTTATAAAAGACATAACTTAATTTTTATAAAATTTATATTGAGTGAGGGGCAATAACTCAATTTCAGAATTCATAAATTAGAAGGCATAATTTAATTTATACAAAATTTATGATGAGGGTGCGTGACAAAAGATTTCTAAACCTATATAAAAGGACATATAAAATATGTAAGATTGTGGGAGAGAAGCTTGATTTTTGTGGGTGCATTCATGCCCAAGGAGGTATGTACTCATTTTATGTTCCATTAAAATATGTTAATACTAGATTATCTAATATTAGATGTAAGATTATTCTAATTTCTTCCATTGTAGATCCTTTTTAATAAAGAGGAATTGAGATTTTTTACCTATCCTAATTACAATTTAGATAAGGATTTCTCATAATAAGAACATTGAACATACAATTAAAAGAAATTATAAAAGACTGTCAAATAGAGACGCTTCCATCTTTGTGATCAAATAATGTAACATCGACTCAAAAGGAGAATGAAAATTCAACATTTAAAAAAAACATATTACTTATTTTAATAGTAACTACTTTTTGTAAAGCAAAGAAAATGTTTTATTGGACTTTCTATAGTCTATGCAAATTGCAAGGAAGACTTATTCAATGGATGCAGCTTTAAGCCTCAAATCTATACCTTATGTGGTCAAATATTACTCCATCGATCTGTTTCAATTTACACGACTTGATTCGGAGGATGAGAGTCAATTTAATTATTTTTGTAAAATATTTACTTTTTAAAAATAAAATTTAGATATTTAAAAATGGTATAAAAAGTATTAGTACAAGTTACAATAGTTAGTAATTCAAAATATTTAAGGAAAAAAATTGAAACGAAATGAAATATATAGTTATTTAGGAATTTTTATGCATGAGTTATTTATGCGCCGATTAATAATGAATAGATTATTATTAATTTGAATAATATATTCTAATTATGTTAAAGTGTGTGATCATCTCATTTAGAAGTTTAAGCGGTTAGGGAAAATACACTTTTTATTATTTAATTATATTCTCAACAAATTAGGTATTTTTGGCTTCAAGTAATTTAGTCTATGTGTAGTTAATTTTTCTTTTCTCCACACTTTATCTCTTTCAATAACAACATATTTAGCCTCATTTTCCAAGTGAAATTTGAAGAATGTGGTATATACACAACGTTCTTCTTATCTTACGAAAATATAGAGAAATTGTTTCCAATAGACCGCATGGTAATCATATCAAAATACTATACAAATTGAACTTAATTTTCTTAACTTTCAATATGTGTATTATTAATACCGTAAATCAAAGCGACATGAATTGTGCATCGATTATTTGAATACGACCATTTGAATACAATATATTCTATACTATATTTTATGATGATAATTGATATCAATTGTTTCTGTACCTTCCACCAAACGATTCCAATATAGGAATATCGTTTTCTTTGAAAAGAATATAATATGTGTAAGTGGTCAGAGATATGGGACGTAGACATTAAACCCAAATTGTGAAGCAAACACTAGTGTAAGACATAAAATTATTTACTGAATTTACTAGTAATTCTTAACTTTTTATATATAATTCATCTCTATTTACAGTTAAATGGAATTAACATAAATTTTTTGTTATTTATATAATTTTATTCATCGTTAATTTTTATATATTTTTTTATATTGAGAACTATTCGAGTATACTATAGTTAAAAGCCATGAGCCCAGTTGGCCAGTTGCCTATCCACTGTCTCCAACTCATATATATTTATATATATTCCACTGTATCCAGCTCATATTTCCTCTCTTTTAAAGAATCTTATGTAAAGATTCTTGAATGTTTATTTAATCATTTCCTATTGAGTACCATTTTCTTTATGCTTAATATTTAATCGTAAATTAGAATATTTTATTTAGATATTTGAATTAGATCATGTTTTAATTGACTATCTTAATTTCAAACAAATTTTAATTAGATATTTTTGATTAATTATTTATTGTGTGTTTTCGTTCACGTATTAAATAGTTAAATTAATCACACATATTAGTATCATTTCTTTTATCTTTCTTTTCGGTAAAGACATTTTCCGATTGGTTATAAGAGTTTCTTTACTACTTCATGCTTCTTTTCTTTTTGGTCAATGATAGGATATTTCATTTGATTTAACCTTTATCGGGAAGTACAAAATCACTGCAATTATTATTATAATATACTTTTGGTAAGAAATTCATCTCTACGTTATCATACAAACAATTGTTTGAATTGAGAAATTCATCTATGTTCATAAAATATATTAATATGAATAACAATTAAACATAAACTATTTGATACTTCTCACCTTTGCAATAAGAGGAGTCAATGTCAGACAGAGAATAAAAGAAAAAAAACATATATATGAAGATCCAAATGTAATTCCAACTATACATTTTTTTAACTCTACACTGTGTTACAAAGTCATTAATACACAGGGAAGCAATTGTAGATATATTTCAACTAGCAAATATAGGTCTAATACATCGACTTATTTTTTAACATGATCTTAATTGACTTTTAATTTTTAATATGCATAAATAAACATACACGTCCTACATGACATAATATAAATAAATACGAGTATATTTCATGCGAATGATCATATGAAATGCATGTTTAAAATTATACACATCGAAAATTAAAAAACCATCGGTTGAAGTTAAATTAATTGGTTCGATTGGGAATGATTATTGTAGAATTTAGTTAAGAAACGGCGGGTCGGCGAAAAATGGAACTCTTTAAAATTTAATCACTAAAATAAATACTACTCCTACTGTGCGGGGCGAGGCCACTATATAAATGGTCATTTTTCCTTGACGGATTCATCATTTTTCATCTTTTCTTCTCCTTCTTCCGTGTTTTTGTGCTGTTCATCCAAAGGAGGATCCGGTCTCTCTGTCAGGTCTCGTTCATCAATTTCATCAATGTTTTTATTTTTTGTTAAGCATAATTAGATCAATTTTTTTTCTGTTGTATGTGTTATGGATCTCAGAAATTTTGAATTACAGGAGTCGCTATGGCTTCCAAGCGGATCTTGAAGGAGCTCAAAGATCTTCAAAAGGATCCTCCTACTTCTTGTAGTGCTGGTAAAAAACTCAATTCTCTTGATGCATTTTTTTTGTATACACGCAATTTAATTTGTTTTCCACTTGCTTTTGTTTGAAATTTTGTTTGCTAAACAAATCTGTTACAGTATTTGAATTGTTGGATGTATGATCTGATTGTCAAATCTGTTATTTGAATTGTTGGATGTATGATCTGATCATTGAGGAGATCATTATTGAGATTTGGCTGTAGGCCATTTTTTAATCTCGTGGTCTGAAAACGTAGTTCATTTTGTTACCGCTGATCTGGCTGCCACAAAATTCTTATATTTTTTTGCATCAATGTTTTGTTTTTGGCGTTATTCCGGTTTGTTAGTTTGATTCATTAACTCTAAACATGTCAATGGCTGAGTATTTTGTCACTTAAATGGAAGTTATGATATACGTTCTGGTTTTCGTGTGTCATTTGTATGACGGTGATTGCTTAGTAGGCTTGGCAGTGACATAATTGAATTGGATATCAAGGGGACAGGAAAGTTTACGCGAGATGTGGTGCTAGAATGCATAACTCTCTGTTTGGCATTGTTCGTGCTGGGACCTTTATATGTGAAACTGCAATAATGTTATACAGATGGATTCTTGTGTATTCCTTTGTATGTGCTAGCCTATAAACGAGCCATCCTCCTCCTTCCCCTGCCAGTTAATTTAGTGGTTTCTTCTTCTCTTGAATACTTCCGATGAAACAAGTAGTCAAAGTCGATTTGGTTAGAACTAAGAACTTTTGCTTTTTGATATAAACGGTTGTGGCTTAAAATCAGATTTTTCTTTTAATAAAGACGTTGTGATAATTTTTTCTGTTCTCTGTATCAAAATATGCTTATGTCTTGTACTTCCTTATAAGAAAAAACTAGTAATTCAGTCAAGCAGGTTCTTTCCTTTGTTTATCAGTGTTTGGATTCATATGAAGCATCCAGACCAAACCCTATTAACCACTTATCTTAAAACCTCTCTAAAGGATAATTTTGTTGGGCTTTTCATTTGTATTTTGTTTTACTTACCTGCCTAAAACTGGATTTCTCAGGACCTGTTGCTGAGGACATGTTTCATTGGCAAGCAACGATCATGGGTCCTCCAGACAGTCCTTATTCTGGTGGAGTTTTCCTGGTGACAATCCATTTTCCTCCAGATTATCCATTCAAGCCACCTAAGGTGCATTGTGAGCTCTTGTCGTTCCTTAAATATTGCATTGATCATAGCTGTTGATACACATGACTTCATAGATTAGTTATGGGCCCTTGATATCCTAGAATTTGCTGGTTCTAAGAGATCCCGTATATCGAATAAGTGAACCTGATTTTCAATTATTATCGATGCTACAAGACATTTTTTTTTAGTGAATCCTTAACTTTAACACGACTGATTAAGCTCCTTTATGTCAAATTGGGGGGATGACAGGCACGGTTCCTTAATCTTAAATTCGAAAGCTAGCTGAAGAAGGACTAGGCTCAGCTCACATTTTTTGTGGACTATCATGCTTATGTTGTTTTTAGCTGCAGTATATTGTCTTTTGAAGATCCCAATAGTTCTTGCTTGATGGGTTGATATTCACACGAAAGAACTTTTTATTTGTATCTTTTGTGTTCTTTATACCGTGATCTCTGTTGAATCGTGTTTGGTTCGATATATCATATAGAAGTCTTCTTCCTTGTGCATTTTGAGCATTTGTTACTTTCTTTTTTGGTTTACTCAGATACTCGAGAGTAATCTTAGCAGCCTCAAATGAGATAAAAGTATATGATGTTAAATGTAATATTGCAGAAAGGACTGTATAATTAAGGATTGTTTGGCAAGTGAGAGAATTTTACAGCACAAAATACTTTAAGTGTGACAAGTGACAAAAGCCAATTTTAGCTGTCTTCTGCAGTTTACAATAAACAAATAAGTAAATAATGGCCAGCATGTAAAAATACTGATTTGTGATAATCGTTTAAATCTTTGAGTTAACCAAACATCAGTATAATTTTAAAAAGTTTCTCTAAGTTGTGATGGCATCAATAAATCTGACAAAACAGGTCAAAATATCTCTCCAGATCATAAATAGATGTCAAATAGAATAACTAAGGCAAAAGATCGAGGACTCTCCATGAGTAACAGGTCAAAATATCTCTCCAGATTATATAAAAATGTCAAATAGAATAACTAAGTCGAAAGATCGAGGACTCTCCATGAGTAGTCACAAGTATCATTTTCTCCTTTGCTGTTGTGCTTGATTTGGTGACATTCTGTATTCATTTCTTTCTAATACTTTTGTCATTGATAATGAACTTGGATGAAAGACACTCACTATTGGTGTAAATCTGACAGGTGGCTTTCAGGACAAAAGTTTTCCACCCAAACATAAACAGCAACGGAAGCATATGCCTTGACATTTTAAAGGAGCAGTGGAGCCCTGCCCTAACAATTTCCAAGGTTCATTTCTTATTACATTTAAGCTGTTTATATTTAAAGTACTAATATTATTGTTTTAGTGATATTTCTTCAAGTGTTCATAATACCCTTGTACTTCAATAAATTGTTCTAAACTTATATGGGGCAATCTTGCTTCTTTATTTTCCTTTTATTTGGGAACTAATATAAAGATTGAGTTAGTTAGATCTTTGTTATAAGAAACAGAGCCTTGTGTAATGCCACTAGAAAGGCTTATTGTTTACTAGTCAGAACCATACGATTTACTATATTTTTAAAATTTCTACATTAAAGTAATCAGAACTTATTTTGCATTTCCATATAATACCATGGGCAAATCACAATGTCTGCAAACTACTTTATAGGAATATTCCCAGTATTAATCTATGTCGTTTATTTTAAATTTCCAGTTTGTCATGATCATAGATCAGAGTTAAACACGTATAATAGACTACAAGTACTTAGATTCTTGGCATCTTGGGTCTGGATTTCCTCTTTAAGTTATGCCATTAGAGTACCTATCCTAATATCTTTCTCATCCACTCAATGTATGCCTCTGACCATCTATCTTAAGATAAAAATGCTCTCATTGACTCCACATAACGGAGTTTTTTCAACTAATGGGAATCCTCCAGCCAGTTTACCTTTTTCACTACTGGTGCATGTTAAAAGGAGGGGGGGCCTTTGAAAGTCAGACAACTCAAAAGCTCTCTTAGGATGATCAGCCACTAAATTTGCTTCTCGAGGATGTGTTGCATTATTGAAGCTTTAAATTTCTGCCGAGCAATAAAAAAAGCAATGTGTGACCATGGATTACTTCTGCTCTGTCTCTCCACTTATTTGTTGATAACTTTTTGTTTCAATATTCAGGTGTTGCTTTCGATATGTTCACTTCTGACGGACCCTAATCCTGATGATCCTTTGGTCCCGGAGATTGCACACATGTACAAGACAGACCGGAACAAGTACGAGAGTACTGCAAGGAGCTGGACCCAGAAATATGCCATGGGCTAAATGCACATTGGTATTTGTGGGATCAGGACATTGTACTTTCAGACACTTTGTTATTTACATTGAATATATTAATGAGTTCATCTGTTCTTTGAGGGGGAGGAAAATGATGGATGCTGCTCTTTAATAGTTGTATGAACAATTTGATCTTTGAAAGAAACCAATGAATTAACCTTTTCTTATATTTGCAGACCATTTGTTTCGACAAAGCTAATATAGATATGAATATTTACATCTCCTTGCATGCTTTAGCTATGCTGTAGCTGAAATGCGGGATAAGCATTGGAGCCCTTCAATTCCCAACATCCCGTGTTGATTGTTGGGAATTGAAGGGTCCAATCAAGCTATAAGTTTGGCCAAACAAGCTATTAGTTCCATTTCTCAACTTCATATTAACTTTATACTTGGCACAGCAAGCCCAAGAATGCTAACCATAAGGCATAAGCATTCAACGTCATCTTGAAGGCCGACATAGATGGTGTACATTTCTGGGCAGGCAACTCGTCCTTCTGCTTGGATGAGGTAGAATAATGGTGTTCGGATTAATTTGTACATAATTTAATTATTTTCACTAGCATAAATATGAGGTAATTACACAGGTGAATGGGAAGTATATTTAAACCTCTAAAATCATTGTTAAACATTTGGCGTAAAGCTTAGAGTTAACTGTACTATTAAACCGTGTATTGTAGATTGTCCAGATATCAGCCCAATAACAGAATCAGAAAAGCTGACGAGAAACTACACCCGATGAACCTAGAAAAGGGTCAATTGCACTTTTGCCCTTTATTTCGTGGTAGATTCTTTAAATTTTATCTTTTGTAATAAAGAATTATTTTACGAGATATAAATTTATATTTCCATATCATAATATTTCATAAATTTTATCCGAATATGACTTTAATTTCTAAAAAAACTTATGTCTCATGAATCGATTACTAAAAGGTAAAAATTATGACTAGAAAACCGTCCAATGCTAATATAATGTGGAGTAATATATAATCCCAAAATAGTACTCTATATATCAGTTCTGATAGCCTGATCTAAATAAGAAAGGTGGTCCATTTTAGCTTTGGAATCAGAAACGGCAAAAGGGCACGGTGACTCATGTGACATGTCGTGTTCTGGGAAAATTAGAAATTTCGTTAAAAATGTTTTACACTCTATTTGAATCGTTGTTACCCATTGTATTGTATTGTATTGTATCGTTATCATATCTACAATGTTTGTTTTGATTGTTACTTAAAATGTACTGTATTGTATTGTTAAATTTCGTTGTTACGTAACAATGAAAACCTCTATTTTATGAAACAACCGATTTGGTGTGTTCCCATTGTTACTTAATTTCTTTTTCCAATTATATCCCGACATAATATTTCATAATACTTTTTTACCCTTTACCCTATATTATTTAATTCTAGTCAAACCTCCTACCGTAGAATAATTAAAGATACTTTAGTAAATTTGTAAATTACAATACAGTACGATATATTCAAACCAAACAATAAAAATGTTATTAAACAACAACAAACAATACAGTCTAGCCAAACATTTTATCTACCATACAGTACAGTACAATAGAGTACAATACAATACAGTACATTATGAAACAATAGATAACAATGATCCAAACAAAGTGTAAATTTAGGAAAACTTTCAGAAACAACAAATATTAGTATAATTTTTCATGAAGGGTGCCCAACTAATCACTCCTACGCCACTATAATCACTAGTTAATACTATATACTATTGTTAAATATTTATGTTATACTGGTCAAAAAATAATATTCAAGGAGATGTACAAAAATGTCAGATAGAAAGCACATTAAACCTTGTAACTATATTTAATTGAATAACATAATTCTATCAAGGGTCGTGCACACTAGTGGGGGGAGGAAAAACAGTAAGTCATGGTCTCTGAAAATCAGGTTCATTAGAAACCTAACTCCCACAATAATTTCTTTTAAAAATAGTTAGAAAGTATTGATCCTTTCCCCAATCAGTTCAATTGAATTAAAAAATTTATCCTACTTTAATGTAATTAAATAAAACCTTTTATGATATATAAATTATTAAATCCTCTTGATAAAGGAAAATCTTTCCGTTTAAAGGCAAATGGGGTTGAGAAATTGCTTATGGTCACAAGTATAATGTTCTAATATTCTTTTAATCCCTCGTATAAATAACTAGCTTTGCCACATAATGCATCGATGTCTAGAAAAAGAAAAAAGACGAAAAATTGTATATTGTATGTATTTGAAAGTTGAAACTCAAGAATTTGTTATTCGGGTTGAAGATGGAAATTCAGATGCATTCCCTTGACTGTAATATTATATTGTATGTATAATACTATCGTTTTTTTTATATATGTAATAAATATTCTCACTAAATTCTTCATGTATTAATTTTTTATATTTTCAATGAAAATTTTGACTTGGACTAATTATATTATTCTATTTTCAAGACGATGCTGAGATGGATAAGATAACTCCCACCTCCATATTGCAATTATTTCTTAGTGCGTGTTCCCCCTTAATTATTTCCTATTAATCTCCTAAGAATACTTTATAATATATGAATTATTATCATACTTCCATATCTCTTTATTTCTCAATGGGATATCATTATAAAGTTCTTGACTTAATCTTCCATCATATTTTCTATTACCCAGATTAAATAAGATTTTTTTGGCTAAAGTATATTAAAGTTTATTCATATGAATATGACATCTTTATGTTTTATATTTCCGCAAATTTACATATTCTAGATACCTTTAAAAGTTCTTATTTGTTAAAAAAATTCAAAAAATTATAATTGGACATTTGATTATATTACAATGAGAAACAGTTTAGATATATCATTATACGCTGTAAAAAAAAAAATCTATTTTTTTATACTTTGTTTAAAGTTTGGTTCATTCATATTTTTCGTCTTTATAATTTTTGTTTGAAATTATAGCCCCATAATCACTAAAACCAATATTATACAGGAAAAATGAAGATTTGCTGAGTATCTCTGCTTAACAAAAAACCCAGACAATAAGTAGTTGGATTAGCTGGTAAACACTGGAATCTAGGGCATCTAGTGTTTGATGACACCATTAATTTAGTCGATTATTTACATAATTATGTATATGACTCAATGATTAATTATTAACAATCTACGAAAAATCCTTGAGTGATGTTTATTTCTTTGAGAGGAAAAAATCAACGCTCTACATTTTACTATCTTTTTCTCAAATTATCTGTTCGTGTTTTTCTTTTATACATAGCTTAAAAAAACACTAATCACAAAGAGTTTTACAGTCTTACTCTTATTTATGTCTTAAGATATAAGATCTCTTCATTAAATATTTACTTTATTTATGTGACATCATTTTATTTATATAATGAGAAGATTATTTTAATTTAAAATTTTAAAAATAATAAATACTTTGAGATAATTATTTTTAAGAATGATATGATAGATAATTTTAGACGGAAGGATTAATTTAATTTTGTACAAATATGTGTTATAATCTCGAACGTAGAATCGAGGTGTGGTGTTGTTGAAATTCCGTGAGTTTCCGTTTTATTTGCTTCTTTGATTTGATTTCACTTGGCTCAATAAGGGTCCAAACTCCAACATAAAAAGTTTTTATATAGGATTTGCAAATTATTTTTTCCTCCCTTATTTTTTGATTAGATTTAAGTTATCTTACTGATTACTCTCTCCATCTAATAATAATTATTCACTATATTAAAAATAGTTGTCCAATAATATTTGTCTAATTGTTGAAATATTTTTAAAAATATTTTTTGGTTTAATATGTTATACATTATTATAATAAAGAAAAATATTTTTATTTTTAAATAAAGGTTTAAATAACTTAATACAAAGTTAATCAGTCAATTTTGATTTAAATAACTTACTACAAAGTTAATCTGTTAACTTGTTAATCTCTTAAATTTGTCAGAATATTTCGTTTGAACACTTAAACTAAATCTTATTTCAATTGAATATCCTAACTCTAAATAAAGTGTTTCAATTAAGATTTGATATCATTTGTGTGGGGGTTGGGTTATGACCCATTTTCAGCCATTTTGACCTACACATTTCAGCCCGAATTGAATGAACTTTGAGTGGATTAATGACTTATTTGTTTATTAACTTTCATTCATTTTGTTTACATATATTTATGGAAAATTATCTAACTATACAGCTTTTTTAATTATATTTTTTAAAATTTCCTACTATTTGAATAAATTACAAAAGTTCTTACTCTCTTCTATTCTCGGATACATCATTCTTACGTGATGTATCGAAATGCGATATATAGGTATATCTTGTATCAACAAAGGTAATGTATCAGGAATTGATTGATGTATAGGGACAAGTGTGTCTTGAATAAAAAAAGTAATATTGTATTTGGGACGCGATGTATTAGACGTTGAGTGATGTATCTGAAACTGGGACGTGATGCATTGGAACGTTGAGTGATGTATTCGAAATCCGAACGCGATGTATTGGACGTTGAATGATGTATCCAAAATCCTTAAATTTTAAGGAATTTTTGTAATTTAAAAAAGAGAATGGATGAGATATAATTAGTTTTTAACACTCTGAGATTTGTGTAAAATATATCTGTCTATTTGATATCTCTACGCTCGTTCGACACCACAATAGATCATCAATAGTTTCATGAATTAGGACAACTTATTTATCAAAATTACTACCGTAATAATTAAGCTTAGTACGAATTACAAAATCATAAATCAGCACTACTGAAGACATGTGAAGTGTTGCTCCTAATCTTTTCACAAAAATGAAATAAACCACTCTAATAACTTGTTAAGGTATTTTGCATGTTAATAAGCACTATTATTTTTTATAAAATAAACTGAAAGCTCTACACATGTTCACTTCCTCATTACATCTTTTTAGAGATTTCATGTAGTACCTTTTCAGGTAGATTATTAAATGACACACCAACTTGAGATATGAAAAATATTGGAAATCACCATCCCTTTTTATGGTCTAAATTATTAATAATATAAGTAGTGTAATACCGAATACGTATCTTATTTCTTATTGTAATTATAGTAAAGTTCAATAGCATGATAAGCTGAACATGAATCAAATATCTTTAAAGTGAATCAATTTAGCTCTGAAAAACGTAATATTTTCTCAATTCAAAAGAAGTTA